TTTTCCAGAGAAGGGAAAAAGGGGTTGCCTGTGAATCAAGTCTTGGGGCAACTGGGAGTCTTTTTGTCTCGACTAACCTTTTTTCTGAACTTGCTTCTATGATGGGAAAGACACTTTGTCCCAATTCTTCCTTTTCTTTTTAGGAAGAGGGGACACAGAGGTATAAGGCATCTGTGCCAGCCCTAGCTACTTAGGCAGGAGAAATGACATGGTTTCTGGGAACAGCATCCCCAAATGGCTATTTGCAGGGCAACTTGTAGTTAGCACAGAGTATTTGGGAAAAGCAGAGAAAGGTCCTGCGCTATGAAGCTCAGAGGCTTGGGGCAGGCCCTGGTCCTCTCTTGAAGGAGGGTCTTCAGGGAACTTATGGGTTGTTTCTATTTGCCACTTTATTTGGATGTAGAGATTACCCTCATTGGGGATAAGGAAATAAATAACCCCAAGTTTCTTGAGAACGGTAGGAGTTAAGTGCCCCTGCATCCTCACAGATTCTTCCTGGGGGACCTGGTCATCAGAAGAGAAGGACAAAAGGAAGGTGCTTCTGTCTGCTCAGGCTGCAGGATGGGCTAAACCACAGGTAGCCATTTTCTCATGGTTCAGGGGGCGGGATGTTTGAGATCAGGTTTGCTTTCTTCTGAGGCCCCTCTCCTTGGCTTCATAGATGGCTGTCTTCTCTCTGCCTATACATCATTTCCGTCTGTACTGTCTATGTCCTAATTTCCTTCTGTAAGGTCCCCAGTCATATTGGATTAGGGCCCACCATAACAACTTCATTTTAACTTAATTGCCTCTTCAAAGACCCTGGTTCCAAGTACTGTCACATTCTGAGTTACTAGGGGTTTGGGCTTCAGCAAATGAATTACAAGAACGAAGAGAACAGAGTTCATCCCATCAACGAAAGGAATTAGTTTTATTTATTTATTTTTTCACCAAGCTCAAGTCTAATTTTGTAACTACTGATACAACTCAATTGCCTGTTGGGGTTATCTTTGAGAAGGGATTCAGGCCAATGGGACTTTTCCATGGTGGGGGTGGTGTGCATCAGAAAAGCCTGCATGGATGTAATTATGACTTGCAGATTGGAATGACTGTCACAGGTAAAATTTTAGTACTTAAAATTTTAGTACTCATCTACGTCCAGAATGTGTACTCCGATGCCCTGAGATGGCAGTTGAGTCATTCTTTGGGTACATTGAGTGCCTTCTCATTCGGTGGGTTCCTGATGAGGCTAATTTGAAGTCTTTGGGATTAGCATCGTCATTTCAGCCTGTTGGGGACTGGCTTCTACCACCCATGGGAATGTCTCTTGTTTTAGAGGTAGTGGAGTTTTTTACCTGTGTACTAAAAAAAAAATCTTAACCGTTTTCATTCTGACTTTATCAACAAAACAAAACTATTGCTCTAGAAGTCAATCTTTAAAAACATAGAGGAAGAACTCAAGGCTAAATCCTCTGTAATTTTCTAAAAGGGCTTTTGTTGTATAAATGCGTTCTCAGCTAGCAGAACGCCAACAAAGTGAATGAACTTCAACTCGGCCCAGTGCTAACAATCTGGGCTGATGGTATATCCTCCCAGCTGAGAAGTTTATGCTGAACAAAGTGGTCTGGATCCTTTACGACACTTGATTTTGCTTGTAATTCCCTTATCAGTGTGCAAAAATGGTTGTTTTCCGTTGATGTCCTGTGGCCATGGCTTGATGACTCACACTGGGCCCCTTTTGTGAATTCAGGAGTGCAGTGGCATCCCCTTCACACCATCTGTTCATCTCTCCACTGTGAAAGTGAAAACCAGACTGGGTGGAGCTGCTTTCTTTCTCTTGCAACTACATTTTCTTGCCAGGGAGCTGTGCTCTTCTGAGGCCCCGTGTTTCCCCACGGAAGGCTGGTTACCTGGTTTGAATGTCCTAGAAAAAGAAAATTTTGGGGTGGGCCGGCAGGTTAGGGGAAAACATGTCTTGTTGATTTTTATCTGCAGAGACAGAAGCCAGCGTTTCAGAGCACTGCAGTTTGTGACTGCGTGACCTCAGCTGCTTGGATAGATACTCATTATCACTGGGTCCAGGGTCAAGAATGACACGTTCTAAGCTTGAGGCACCATGATATTGAGAGTTACAGTTTATGCTGGCCACATGGGGTGAGATTTTCTAATCTCAATTCAGCTTTAAATTAAGAAGAACATTAATTAAGATTGTGTGGGGGGGATTTACTGAACCCTTAGGGAAGAAAAACTATTTAATAGACTTTTGTCTTCCTACTGCTGCTACTGATTTTGTAACTAGGATTTGTCTAATTGATTGGTTCCTTGAGGAGTAGCTCTTCTGCCTCTTGTATGCTAGTCTCAGAATAATGTTATTATTTTAAAAATCAAGACTTTTTATACTGCAAATGCTCAATAATTACTTGGTAAATTAACTATACAAAAATCGAGGCCCAGTTACAGTGTTGCGGAGCCAACACAGAGCTCTGCGACGCTGGAAGTCATATGGAAGATCCAGATTTGTTCCAAGTTGATTTGCACATGCCAAGTACATGTGCATGTGTCCGTAATCCAGGCTGGCTGAAAAGGTGGGGGAGGGCAGGACATGGGGATTACAACATGAAGCTCTCTTGAGGGTGCTTGTCTTTTTCTATTTTTTAAGAATTATTTATTTAATTTTATGTATTCATTCATTTGTTTTAATTTGACCAGAGAGAGACACATAGAGAGAGAAAGAGAACATAAGAAAGCAAGCCACCAGGTCCAGGATTTGAACCGTGGTTGGCCATGTGGGAGTATCCAGCATTTTAACCACCGAGACACCTGCTGATCTCCAAGGGTGCTTGTCTTTCTCTCTCTCTCAAAATAAATAAGCTTTTTAAAAAAAGTGATTCCAAGATAAACGAAATGTTGTATGAATTTTAAAAAGAATGTTATTCAGCCATAATGAATTCTGATATATGCTACAGCATGGAGGATCCTTGAAAACATTGTGCTAAGTGGAATAAACCAGAGAAAAGACAAACATTGCCTGATTCCACATAAGAAATATCTAGATGAGCTACAATTACAGAGACCAAGACTAGAGTAAACAGAGGTTACCAGGGGCTGGGGAGAGAGATGGGCAGGGCAGACTAGCAGAAGTGGATCCAAGGAAGATCTGTTGCAGTCCTGTTAGTGGGTACAGAGTTTCTGTTTGGGATGATGAAAAAGTTCTGGACATGGATAACAGCAATGGTTACACAGCACCATGAATGCACTTAATGCCCCTGAATTGCACACTTTAAAATGGTTAAATGATAATCTTTATTTTACCATAATAAGAAAGTTCTTAAAAATATATTGAAACAGAAAAAGAATATATTAGACTTACACAAATCCAAAAACATAAACATTTCCTTTTATCCCTTAGACATATATTACCTGAGCTCATAAACCTGCTGAGGGCAGTTTTCCCTTGGATCTGCCCCAATCAGCATGGAGAAGGCTCTTTACTCCACAAATACAGTACATGTGCTTCTCTGAAGCATTATTCAGTGCATTGTGCTTAGGCATCATAATGCACATTGAGGGATGCAGAAAGAAGCATTATAGGAGACTCCCTACTGTGTGCTTAGAGATGTTAATTAGTTGCTTCCCCTTCCAAATGTGGTAGATAAAGGATCCCTTGAGAGTTAAGCCCAAGAAGACAAGGGTTAACATCTTGGGAGAAATTTCTGAGTGACAAGGAGAAGCTAACTCTTCTGAGAAGTATGTGTACCATATTTTATCTTAGATTCAGTGTGACGGTAATGTGTCTATTTTCTTCGTTGCTTTGGCCACTAGGATGCTCAGAGCTCAGAATCACATGAAGTAATCATTTAGCACCTTACAACATATATGTCTGTGGTCTAACTTCCTCATGTTCTTCTAGCCTCTTTTTTACATTGTCTTCTTTACATAGTTAATCTATTCTGTTTTGAAATTAGATGGTATACTAGTTAAGTATATTCTCTGGTTCTCCAGAGACTCCTGAACAAGAAGATATTTATGTGTATTCTCTCCCTCCCTTACACACACACAGACACACAGATGCACAGATTTATTTTAAAGATTGTCCCATACAAGTGAGAGGCCTGGTTAACTGCAAGATTTGCAGGGCAGACTAGCAGAAGTGGATTCAAGGAAGATCTGTTGCAGTCCTGAGTCCAAAGGTAGTTTGGAGGCAGAATTCCTTTTTAGAAACCTCAGTGTTTTCCAGCCTCCACTGATTGGATGAGGTTCACCATGTTACAGAGGTAATCTGCTTTACTCAAAGTTTACTGAATTTAAAAATGTTAATCTTATATAAAAAATAACTTCTTAGCAACATCTGGACTTGTTTTATCAAACAACTGGGCACCATAGCCCAGCCAAGTTGACTCATAAAACTGACTATCACAGATGGGGATAAATATCTAATAGAATTTTAAAAAAACAGACATAATTGTCTTATATTTGCTTATTTGAGTGCATGCAGGGAAAGATTCCAATTCCCTCCCACCTACTCATCTAGGTTCAAGCCTCATGTTGTCATTATTTCATCAGCTGGCAGGGCTATCTTCCAAACGAGGGTTGGTTAAATGGCATAGAGTCTTCATTGTGGATGTGTTGAATGCATGAATCTCTGACCTGCCAACATACCCTGGTAGAAGCCAGTGTTATAGAGAGTTCTGCCAGCTCTTCGGTAAACAGCCATTTTTGTGGAGGGACGTGATGAGGTGTATGAATTCACCAATTATTACTATTCCCAATTAGACAGGCCCCAGGTGTGTGTTAATAAAACCTTAGCTCACTCTCCCTGTAACATTAACAGCCTCGACTTGACTCGATTCCAGGGATTTTATTCATTTGATATTGTTCAATTGCTAATATTGCTGCTTGTTCAATTCTAAAAGATCTTCAAACATCTGGAGACCCGCCTTTTGTTAGAAAACATTGCAGTTGTTCAGGAATGTGACTCCTCATCCGTGTGACTCCTACCTTATCTTTTTTATCTTTGGCAGGCTGGTTACCTTGGGTGCAGACTTCACTGTTCAAAGAGGAGCCTGACAACCACGCTGTCTTTCCTGAGGTAAGAACTGTGGTCATTACAAATAACACTCTGAGCCACTCGGAGCCCTGGGTTAGGTTGGTGGGGATTCCCAAGGACTCCTGAATGTCTTGGGACTCTGTCTTTTTTTCCATCTCCTCCGTAGCTTGCCAGATTTTCTATCCCATCCTAACACCTCACTGCTTACTGTGATTTGGGATTTAAAAGCCTGGTTTGGTCTTAAATTACATTTCTGATCAGCCCAAGGAGGAAGTCTCCATGCCCAAGGACTGGCTAGTGGCTCAAAGACTTCTTTGCTTACTAGAAAAGAAGTACTTGGAGCAACCTTTCCATGACTAGGATGGAGAGATACGGGATGGGGAGCAATATTCCAAAGTGTCTACATGAACTGAAATCCATTGCTGACTCCGCTTAGTACATACATGAACTAATTACCGAGCATTTGTAACGAGAGGACATTTATATGTCAATGCTTAGAAAAAATGTATTGATCCAAGACAACAGTGTTACTCCAATAAGGAAAGGATGACAGCATAGATGTGGGTAAACGTGAAGTTGTGTGTTCTGGTGTCTATGCTTTTTTTACTTCACTTTGCCTTTGGGTTTTAGGTGTGGTTCTTAAGACACAGGCTGACCAGGTTTGATTGTTAGGCCTAGCCCCATTTTCCCAGGTGAAGAACTCAGTTGAGAGTTCTGTTTTCTGAGGTCAGGCTGCAAAGCCGAGGAATGCCTTCATTGGGGCGTCTAGGACTGATCCTGGGCTGCTGGGTACTTGTCTTCCTGGGCAGCAGACTCCCAGCCCAGAGGCCCTCTGCCTGGCTGACAGACCTCCCACCTTGCAACTGGTGGGCGGAGGGGAGGGAGCAAGCACGCAGAGGAAATTGTCTGAGTTTCTGAGCTGATGGCCAGGGCCATGTTTACATTCCCATTTCTTATCTAAAGAGCAGATTGAATTAACAGCACCTTGTTTGTTAATGATAATTATATGTTTCAAGTACAAAGCAGAATTTTGTAAAATATCCAAGATGCCTTCCTCTTTGCTGTTTTTAAATGGATGACATTGTACTGCCCTAATTAGGCCCAAGAAAACAAGTAGGAATTTGTATATTATCATCACCATTTTCCTCAAGGCACTTTGGGTGGTGTGCAAGCTGTTACTTCAACTTAAGAGTCTGCTATAATAAACCCAGAAAATGTGAAAATTTGAAGAGTGACGGTCCAGCAGTGAGATAGATGGAGAACACTGGATTATTTTCTAAAGCAAGGAAACTGAATTCCTTGTTAGTAATGATGTTAAACATAGCATTAGAAATTTAGTAATTAGAGACCAGCAGGTGGCATGCTGATTAAGGTGCTGAACCCTTCCACATGGCCGACTGTAGTTGAAGTCCTGGACCTGGTAGCTTGCTTTCTCACTTTCTCTCTCTCTGTGTCTCTCTCTAGTCAAGTTAAAATACATGAATAAATAAATTAAAAGTTAAATAATTCTTTTAAAAAAAAGAAATGTAGTAATTATAATAATGATAATGATAACAACAGTGATAAAAAAATAGCAGCTCTTGGGCCAGCAGATGGCGTGGTAGTTAAGGTGTTGGATTCCTAGGTGGCCTATTGCAGTTCAAATCCTGGACCTGATGGCATGAAAATCACACCAGGTGCAGGGGCATGCATGCCCAAAATCCAAGGAGGAGAATGGAGAAAAGATTGCAGTATGACCACCCCCGGGGGGGGGTGATTTCTCACTTTCCCTCTCTGCCTCTCCTCAGCAAGTACACATGCCCTGTGGCAAAACCTTTACAAAATGAGCAACTCTTTATATTAGCCACCTCTGTACCAGCGTCCCCACAGCTAACATTTACTGGCTTCTATTGTCTGCCAGGTATCAGATTCAGCATTTTAGATGCCCCGTCTCTCTTACCCTACACAGCATTCCTATGAGGAAGGTCCTGTTAATATCCACCTATTATAGTTGAGGAAATTGAAGTTTAAAGAGATTAGGGGGACAGCCAGGTAGCATGGTGGTTAAGGTGGCTAGATCCCGCAAGGATGACTGCATAGTTTAAATCCCAGATCCAGCAGCTTGAAAAACATGTCAGATGTATAGATGCAAAGAGAGTGGAGAAGGGATTGGGGCGTGGTCATCTACCCTGGTATGCATTTCCCACTTTCTCTGTCTCTCTCCCTTTTTGTCTCTCTCCGGCAAGCACACACGCTCCAAAGCAAATACATATATTGGGTCGTCAGGAAATTCATGACGTATTTCTGCACAGAAAAACAGAAAAATACGTCATGGCTTTCTCAACAAACTGATATGTATGTGTGTGTAGGTGCATGTGTGTATGTATATAAATTCATTCATTTATTCCGCTTATATATAAAAAAAAAATGATGTAAGTTGCCCAGTTAGACAGCCAGATCAAAAGGTGGCAAAACTGGGCTGCAACTCCACAGCACCCACCGGGGATCAGCTGCATATGTGGGATATTTGTGGCTCCTGCTCTACACCACTGCTCACATTCCTGGTGGCCCCTGACCACCCCCTACCACTGACATTTTCTCTCTTCTCCATGGACACAGCCCCAAAATTCAAAACTATATTAGAGTTCAAGATTGTTGGGGTTGACAGGTGGTATGGTGGTTAAGGCACTGGATTCTCACGTGGGCAACTGTGGTTCAAGTCCTGGACCTGGCAGTTTGCTTTCTTCCTTTCCCTCCTCTCTCTCTCTCTCTCTCTCTCTCTCTCTCCCTCTCAGGTGAATGCACGTGCCCTATAGCAAATTAAAAATAATAATAATAAAGAAATTTAAATAAATAATACTTTAAAAGTAACAAGATTGGTAAAAATATCTGACCCTTGGAGAACAAAAGAATTAAGAATATGGAGCTAGCAGATGGCGTAATGGTTACGTTGCTCGACTCCCAAGCAGTTGACTGTGATTCGAGTTCAGACCCAGTGGCTTAAAACTCATGCTGGGCCAGTGTGTGTGTATGCCCAAGATCCTGAGGGGAGAATGGAGGTGAAGGGACTGTGGTGTGGCCATCCCCCAGTGGGGGATTTCTTGCTTTCTGTCTCTCTGTCTCTCCGAGCATAAGCACCCTATAGCAAAAATCTCTCAAAAAAAAAAAAAAAAAAGAAAGAAAAAATTAAAAATAGGGCTGGCACTATGGTTTAGTGGTTAAGGGAGCTGGTTCCCACATGGTTGACTGTGAGGTTTGAATGTTGGCTTGGGTGGCTTGTAAAGCACCCTGAGTGGCCTAGCAGGTGACGCAGAGGTTGGGGCAGCTGTATCCCACATGACTGACTGACTGGTTCAAGTCTAGATCCAGCTGCCTGAGCAAATGTTCTGGGCATATGTGCATGCATGTCCAACACCCTAGGGGAGAATGGAGGAGGGACAATTTATACATGGCCACCCCCCCAGGGGGAGATTTTCATTTTCCCTCTTTCTCTCTCTCTCTCTGTGTCTCTGGTGAGAGCATGTACCTTACAGAAAAATGAAAATAAATAAATAAAATAATAATAAAAGAAAGAAAGAAAGAAAAACACACTGAGCAAGTGTGTGTGTGCGCGCCCAAATCCCTACAGGATAAATAAGGAATTATGGCATGACTGTGCACCATCAAGACGTGCTTGCTCCTTCTTCTCTCTCTGTATCTCTACTCCTGATAAATGGATGCATCCTCTGGCAAACTAACAAGAGGAGAATTAAGAATAAAAATCACCCAATTTTAAAAGATGCCAGTTGTAGTCACTAACATTTTAGCATATATTGCTGTGGTTTTCCCCTTGTGTATAGTTAATTCATAGAGTTGCTGTATATTTAAGTTCTGAATTTTGAATTTAATATAAGTAGTTTCTTGTGCTTTTGCTCCCATAAACCTATTTTAATGACTTCCGAGCACTCAGTTAAGTGCATCTGGTTAGAGAGCTTTTACATCTATTCACAAAAAGTTGTATCCTCGAATCACTCCCATGTGACCAATGTAGTTTCTGTTCACCCTATTTGATAGCTTGTTTCTGCTTGCCAGGCAGGTGGTTTGGAAAGGGGCTTCCGGTGGGTGGAGCAGGAGTCCTATCACTGCAAGGCCCTGACTTGCACATGGCTTCACTTTAGCTTCTTCACCTGTGTGCCCCTTACCTCTAGTCAGCTCTGAAATTCTATGAAATCCAGAGTTCTCTAAACTCCCTTAACTCATAACCTATATTCAGTTCCAACTGATTTCGGTTGGGCTTAGCCAGGTCACGCTGAGTTGCTTTAAGCAAGGAATTTTGGTTTCTTGAGATGACCAGACCTATAAGTTCTGGGAAGGAGAAGTACAGTCCTTAGGAGGAGAAATATCTTGGCTAGGTCTATGTAAGTCTGATCATCCCCACCTCTGCACACCCCACTTTCTGACCCCTAGTAACATTCTCCCTAAGCTGGCACACCGATGGAATAGACAGTACAAAGTATGTGGTCAGACAGATAGGAGGTACACACACAGACAAATGCTATTGGTCTTCATATAAGAACCTTTAGCATTATGGCTGTCCAAATTATCAAATTAATAAGTAATATTGACTCAATTAAATGGGGTAGCTTTCTTTATAACAAACAGGGACTTATATTTCAGCATGACAAAGTTGATTATCAGTTCTTTCCTCATATTACGGAGAGAACACTGATCTGTGGCACTCAGAATAATTCTCCTGGGTGTGGGATGGGGGATTGGGGTTCAGCGGTACCACTCTTCTCTGTTACTGGGAAGTGTTTAAAGAATGAGGATATTTAATAATGTCTCCCATAATTTTTGCGATAGCTCTTGTTTTTGGCTTCAGGTGGTCAGAAAGACTCAGCCCTGAAGAAAAGAACGTTGTGGAAAAAAAAAAAAAAAGAACATTGTGTTTATTTAGTTTTATTGTTTAAGGACAACCCTAGGCCATTTATAAATTGATGGCCTTTATTTTTTTTTCAAGAACTATTTTATTTAACCTTATTTATTACTATTATTATTTTTCAGTTTGATCAGAGAGAGAGAGA